TCAGCGTTAAGGAACAAGGAGAAGCCCCAGTGCCCTGTGTGTCTGACAAAGAGCCCTGGGGATCAGGGGCTATTGATGAGGCTGCTAACCTCAAGGTCAAGCCCACCGGCCTCTCTGAGAGGGCAACAAGAGACTCTGTTTCTGTAACAAGGACAGCCTCTGAAAGCCTAGGAGCCATTTTCCTCTGGGCTGCGGGGTCATCATGAGTCCAAATCAACTTGATGATGGTGGCTGGAGGCCCCTACCACCCCTTCTCTCAGCCTGCGGTTGGTTATGTTTGTAAGATGGTTTGGATTGTCTTGTGAAAATGAGCAAAATGATATCAAATGAGATAAAGCATCACACAGCACATTTCTGGGTGCCGTGAAGTCATGTTTGACTTATAGGAACCCCATATGACAGAGTAGAGCCCACAAGGTTGTCCAGGCTCTGTGGGTGTAGTGGGTTACACGTTAGGATGCTGACTCCAAGCTCGGGCTTGAATCTACCAGGTGCTGTGTGGGAAAATGAGAAAGCTGTCTGCTGCTGTAAAGATGTGTCGTCTCAGAAACCCTATACATACAGGGTCACTATGAGCCACAATCCACTCAATGACAGTGGGGCGTAGTTTTAACCGATGCAGATCACATGGAGCGGTTGTTGGGCTTGAACCACCAACCTTTCGGTGCCTGCTTAGAGATGCTTATTTCCCTTTCTCTTTTTTATGGCATAAATTGATCGCTGGTAGTGGGAGAAAGATGAGGCTTTCTACTCCCGTAAAGATTTACACCCTCGGAAACCCTATACAGGGTCGCTATGGGTCGGAATCGACTCGATGGCACATAACAACAACAACAACTTATGACAATAAATGTTAGCTCATCGTAGAGAATTTGAACTGCCTAAAGAGGGATTCATAGACTAAGAAATGTTTCAAGACATAATTTCAGAGAAAGACTTAAGACTCTAGTCATTGCAATTCCATTTGAAGCTTTCTCTAGCAGATGCTGCGGCTTGGTTTGCTACTATAGTTTAAATCCTTTCTTTTACTTTAATATTCATGAAACCCATCTTTTCTTCTTGTCTCAAATAAGAGTAACATCTGTTTCTTCTTATTCAATCAAAGCAGCCACCTCAAAAGGCTTACTTTAAAAATAATGCCATAGAGGACAAGCTAGATAGAATGTGCTTCATTAATGCCGTACATCTGCAGACGGAATGAGTGTTGTTAACAGTTGTAAGTTAGGGGACTGTTCGAGGAGATGTTCTGAAACCGTTTTTTGTTATAGAAGCTAAGACTGTGAGGTGGAATATGGTTCCTGGTTCTGTAATGCTTACATCCTTACAACCTTATAGAACAGTTCTGCTCTGTCCTGGGGGTTTGCTTCCAGTTGGAATCAACTCAACAGCACACAACAACATGCGTACATGAGTTATGTGTATGCATATATTGTTGTTGTTAGGTGCCAACTCATAGGAACACTATGTACAATAGAAGGAAACATTGTCTGGTCTTATTCCAGCCTCACAATTGTTGTTATGTTTGAACTCATGCTTGTGGCCACTGCAGCAAGTCATCTTGTTGAGGGTTTTGCTCTTTATCTCTGACCCACCACTTTACCAAGCACGATATCCTTCTCCAGGGACTGGTCCCTCCCAACATGTCCAAAGTGTGTAAGACGAAGTCTCATTACCCTCACTTTTAAGGAGCATTCTGGCTGTGCTTCTTCTAAGACATATTGTTCATTCTTCTTGCAGTCCACGGTGTAGTCAACATTCTTCACCAACATCATCATTCAAAGGCATCATGTCTTCCTGATCATTGTCTACATAGTATGCATGCATATGTCTGTGTCAGTATATATTTATTTTATATAACCATTTTAATGATGTGTAAATGTACAATTCAGTGACATTAATTACATTCACCATGTTGCACAACTTTACTACTCACAATTGTAAAACTCTTACCTCCCTCATGGTCCCCGGTAACTAACCACAAACTGCCATCGCTATGCATTGGCCTATTCCAGCTAGTTCCTGTAAGAGTGTGGTGTCTTAAGCAGGGTTCTCTAGGCAAAACCAGTGAAATTTATATATATATTGTTGTTGTTGTTAAGTGCGATCGAGTCGGTTCTGACCCATAGCGACCCTGTACAGGGTTTCCGAGGGTGTAAATCTTTACGGGAGTAGAATGCCTTATCTTTCTCCCGCGGAGCGGCTGGTAGTTTCAAACCGCTGACCTTAAGGTTCGCAGTCCGAGTCATAATCCCAAGTCAAAGTCAGATGAACCCAGATTAGCAGGTAGGTCTGGCAGGTAGGTCTGGCAGGCAGATAATGAAGCAGGCCACTGGCTCAAGTTCAAAGAACCGGAGGTTGGGGGACAACCCAGGTGTAAGATCCAGACTCAGATGAAAGTGAGCAAGCTTTGCCTGCATGTCCATTATATTGGGAGCAGTTCCAATCCCCAGGAAACATCCTTTCAATTGATTGGCTACTCATCGCCAATCATCATAGAGTTAACTATGCATGCTCATAGCCAATCATCATAGAGCTAACTACATTGTATTATATCTCACCATGGGAATAACCACATGACTACCAAACCACAGGGAATCCTAGCCTAGTAAAGTTGACACAAAACCTCAACTATCACACGGGGTCATGATTCAAGCCACAAACTCATTTAGAATATTTGTTTTGCACCATTTTTGGGAAACAATTTTGTTCTAGCTCTTCATTTGCATCTTTACATCAGTGTCATAGTTGCCTCATCTTCTGGGTCTCCTCACATATCCTTTAGTGGTTTAAACCCACCCGTCTCTCCTCAGAAACCCTATCCAGGGTTGCTATGGGTTGGAGCTGACTTTACAGCACACAACAACAACAACACAGTCTTCTAGGATCGTCTTCCTGACCCTAAGAGCTACTGCAGAGCTTCACTGGACAATAGCGCAGCTGTCTGCTTGGTTCCTCTGAGAGAGCAGGCTCGGGGAGCAGCCAGATATGAGCTCTGGTTCCTGGCTTTGTCATTTCCTGGCAGCCAGAGGCTCAGGCTTGATTGGACTCCTGCCCTTTACCTCTATCTTGGGGATCGCTTTTCTGTTGGGATTTGCTTGGATGCTTGAGTGAATTTGCAGTCCCTGCAGCTTGCCCATTACACAGAGCTGGACAGCAGTGTTTCCTTGCAAATTCCCTGATGCAGAGACCATGGCACTGGGGTCTTTCCTGGCCATGTGGATGATGACCATTTCAGGGAGAGTGTTTTTTTCACCTGAACTTTTGGGCATTCCCACTCCACTTAAAGAAGAACTTTGTCCTACTTGGAGGCCATTCCCATCAAAGATGGAAGAGTCTTTCAATGAGTAATACGACAAGTTCAAGGCAAGGATTGGAATTAAAGTGGATGAAAACCAGTCTAAGCTCAGAGGTGAAGGAGGCAGCTAGTCAAGGCCTTTTATCTGGGAACTGATGTGTTTAGGAATGAAGTTCCCTGGAAAAAATAAAGTCGCCTCTTCTTATGAATCTGATTAGAACAGTGGATGTTCACCATAAGCAGTTCAGTTGGTGATATTCCATTTACAAGTTAGTTATGTGATGAAAGAATTCTCACAGACATTCCCAGGAACCAGAGAGGATTCTGGTCTACCACCTCACATGAACTTGTTCTGGGAGAGGGATGAGTCAGGATTAGATTTGGGGTTGAACGTTTGTGAGCATGCACGTCCCAACCTGCAATTCTCAGCAGGACTCCTCACACTAAATCAAGATTGAAAACTGAAATAATCCGTGCATCTGACTGTGCTTCTGTTGCTGTTGTTGTTAGGTGTCATCAAGTCAATTCCAGCTCATAGGGACCCTATATAGGGTTTCCAAGGAGCAGCTGGTGGGTTTGAACTGCCGACTTTGTGGTTAGTAGTCCAGTCCTAATCCAACAGCACCCCACCAGGACTCCTTGTATTATATGTTGTTGTTGTTGTTAAGTGGCTTGAAATTGATTCTGACTCATAGCTACTTTGTATAGGGTTTTGAGGAGCAGTTGGTACGTTTGAACTGCCAACTTCACAGTTAGTAGTCTAGTGCTGACCTGACAGCACCCCACCAGGACTCCATTGTGTGGCACTGTGGGTGAATGCGCCGGACTGCAAAGCTATTTGAACTGCAAGGTCTGCAGTTCAGGCTCACCAGCTGCTCCTTGGAAACCCTATACAGGGTTGCTATGGGTCAGAACCGACTCGACAGCACTTCACAACAACAACAACAATCTGCCCATGTAACTGCCCAGTCTCACTAGTAATTTTTTAGTTTTTTATTTCTATAAGCTGCACTTGCCAGGGAGCCCCTGGGTGGGGCAAAAGGTTAAGTGCGCAGCTGTGGACAATAAGGCTGGAGTCTCGAGTCCACCCAGAGGGGACACAAAAGAAAGGTCAGTGATCCATTCTTAAAACCTCAATCCCTGAAAGCCCTAGGGCCCACAGCTCTACTGTGACACACATGGGCTCACCTCGAGTCGTAGTTGACAGCAACTGGTTTTTGTACTTGCCAAGATGGAATTATTGCGAGAAAACGACCAGGGCATAAAAAATAAATAAAAAAGATTTTAAATGCAAGAGAAAATATGACAGAAACCATACATCTGTTTTCTTACTTGAGAGCAAGTGTGACAAAGCTAGCCAGAGTATAAGTTATTAAACAAAAGAGTCATTGATTAAAATTACCCAGCATGCCTTCTCAGACAACTTGCCCTAACCCACTTCTTCCCCTGGGCCCCAAGTTCTCATTGAGCTCTGTTTCCCCCTTTGCTGGGCTCTGCTGTGCCTCCTCTGTGCAGGGTGAGTATGTGGTGTGGTGGGGGGAGGAGTCAGCCATGTCTGGAAGGAAGATGAGATCTCCGAACGAGTCCTGGCCAGCACTGGATTCATCTTCATAGAAGAGAAGAATGCTGACTTTGTGGGTATAAAATAGTGTTTTCAGCTGAACATCATGACAACAAGTATTCTTTTTCGATGTCGTCCTCCCAGGTTCTGGGCTGAACAATGGGCAGTGGCATGAAGTTCGTTTCCTGGCCAAGGAGAACTTCGCCGTCCTCACGATCGACGGTGATGAGGCTTCTGCAGTCCGCACCAACAGCCCTCTCCAGGTCAAAACTGGGGAGAAGTACTTTTTTGGAGGTAAGACTACCTTGTCTACGTGTGTCTACTGGTCTACTAATACATTGGCAAAGACAGAGTCTGGATGTGATTGGACAGGCTGAGAAACCAACTGATAACAGATATCTTGGTTCTTACGTAACAAGGACATTAGTAAAATAGAGACTTTAACAGCACGTTATAGTATGTGTGAGAGATCAGTGCAGCAACATCCGAGAATGTTCTTGCAATCTGAGAAAGAGATCCTGACAGAAGTCGATATTTTGTCACGCTTAATCATTTTACTGAGGAGTCAGATGAGATCTTTAGATGAACATAACTTTTATTAAATTGTCTTCCTCATACTAAATCATACAATGCATGATCTAAACAAATACATTCCACCCCTAGGAAGATCTTGGTTTGGGCTTTGAAGCATAGATGTGTACATTTGCTTGCTTTTGAACATATTCCTATTAATATTCAACTATCCATTTACAGGAGTCCTGATATGGTGCTGTAGGTTAAGCACTCAACCACAAGGTTGGTTTGAACCACAAGGTTGGTGGTTCAAGCCCACCAGCCACTCCTTGGATACCTAATACAGGGTTGCTATGCGTTGGAACAGACTCAACATCATTTAACAACAACAAAATCTCTTTATAAGGGAGCATCAAGTTCATGGAAAAATAGAATGAAAAGATCATTAGGAAATTTCAAACTTTTTGAAAGCTCCCTTGTATCTACTTTTTGCAAATGAATATTTATATAAGCGGGCTTTAAAAAGTTTAGGGAAGTTTGTACATAAAAGAGACTAGAAACATTCCATGAATGTTTTGAAGCCGCTGTAGTTCACTCTCTATCTTTTTCAAGTGGCTAGAGGGGAAGTCTGTACCAAAGCCGACACCATGTCTACTCACACTGAATTGATACGTTCCTGCCTTGTGTCCCCAGGGTCTCAGGAAATCCCCGGGGGCTTTCAATGATGAGTAATACTTATGAATGAACCAGTAGATGCTATACCACAGGCAAGGCTAGGCAGTACATTCCTGACAGTGTAATAGAAGAAAGGTAACTTCCCGGAGGCTCCCGTATGGCCCCTGATTTTGGAGCCAGCCCTTGAGTTCAAGGTATCTGAGGCCTTGCCAGGTCATCATTCCATCTTGCCCACCCGTCAGCACATTTCAGACACAGAAGTCCCAAACTTGATGTGTGCTCTTGGAGTCTCTCATAGTGGTGGAAGACAAGATGGCAGGTTGTTAAAAGATAACAAATACATATTTGATGAGTGCTTGAAAGTCAGACAAGAAAGATGTCTGTGAACAAATGACTGGGGACTGTTGATGTGCAAAAAAAAAGCCAAAGTGATGTTCCTCCAAATAAAATATTTAACCTGAATTACGAAAAATAAATGTTTTATTTGGAAGAATGTGGTTGTCATGGAAACCAGGTCACAGTGATAGAAGGGCTTCACCTGCTTAATGACTAAGGCTGGTGTTGATCTACAGTAGTCCGATAGGACATCATGACAGCTGGGTGTCTGTGGTCATGAATTCACCTGTCCAGTGACTAAGGCTGGTGTTGATCTACCTCCATGTAGATGGGCGAGCAAAGAACTCGCATCATACGTTTCTGGGATGGACTTTATAGAATGTGAGGGTTTTATGGGTACCATTTTTTTTTTTTTCAGTGACTAACCAATCAGAAGTAGTCTGCCTCACCTTCTACTTACTCTGTCTTAGTCTGTGAATGCCACTCAAGCCTGTCCACCAAGGGAGGCCCTGCTGGTATTTCAAATACTAGTGGCATAGCTTCCAGCATCACAGCAACGCACAAGCCACCATAGTACGTTACACTGACAGATGGGGGATATCATTGCTGACATCACATGAATCTGTGAAAGCAGAGTACCAGAAAGATATTTGTATGTGCTTTATTGATTATGCAAAGGCATAAGACTGTTTGGATCATAGCAAACTCTAGATAACATTGTGAAGAACAGGTATTCCAGAACACTTAATGGCGCTTATGGGAAATCTGTACAGAGACAAAGAGACAGTCATTAGGACAGAACAAGGGAATAAAGACTAGTTTATAATCAGGAAAGGTGTGCATCAGGGTTGTGTCCTCTTACTTACTTATTCAATCTGTATGTTGAACACATAATCTGAGGAGCTGGATTATATGAAGAAGAACACGGCATCAGTCTTGGAGGAAGATTCATTAACCACCTGAGATATGCAGATGACACAACCTTGCTTGCTTAAAGCAAAGAAGACTGGAAATACTCACTGATGAAGACCAAAGACTACAGACTTCAGTACGGATTGCATCTTAATGTAAGAAAGCAGAACTCTTCACAACTAGATCAATAAATAGCATCAGGATAAATGGAGAAAAGAGTGAAGTGGTCAAAGACTTCATTTTGCTTGGATGTATAATCAGCGCTATGGAAGAGGCAATTAAGAAATCAAATGACATACTGCTTTAAGCAAATCTGCTGCACAGGACCTCTTTAAAGTGTTCAAGAACAAAGCTGTCACTTTGAGGAGTGAGATGTGACTGACCTAAGCCATGGTATTTTCAGTCATCTCAGATATATGTGAAATATGGACAATAAATAAGAAAGGCCATAGAAGAATTGATGCATTTGAATTGTGAACACCATAATTGTTCTACCGGAAGAACAAACAAATCTGGCTTTGAGGAAGTGCAGCCAGAATGCTGCTTAGAAGCCAGGATGGCCAGACTTTGCTCATTGGTTTGGATATGTTCTCAGGAGGAGAAGTACATCATGCTTGATGAAGTGTAGGCTCATCAAAACTAGGAAGACTCCCAAGGAGGTGGGTTGACACGGTGTCAGTAACAATGGGCTCAAACAACAATTGTGAAGATGACACAGGGACAGGTGTGGTTTCCTTGTGTTGTGCAAGGGGCCTCTATGAGTCAGAACCAACTCAACGACACTTAACAACAGCAACGTTTTCTACTGCTTTACAAATGTAGGCTCTTACATCCAGGAGTTGGAGGATATTGACTTCCTCTTGGGTTTTGGAGTCTGTGAGTGGTGCCAGTGGTTAAGCATGTACCTGCTAAAGGAATGTTGGTGGTTCACATCCACCCAAGTGCCTCAGAAGATAAGCCTGGAAACCCTATGGCACATAGTTCTACCCTGCCACACAAGGCTGCTGTGATTCAGGGCGACAGGACAGTGTCTGGTTTATGTAATTATATATGTTAAATGTCCCACCGCTGCCATCCAGTCAGCTGTGACTCATAGTGCCCTGTGGGACACAATGAAACTGTTCCTCAGGGTTTCTGGGACTATAAGTCTTTATGAGGACAGCCAGCTTCATCTTTCCTCCACAGAGTGACCGATGCTTAACCCACCACACCACTAGGTTCCTTCTTTTAAATCCAAGAGCAGAGTAAGGGCTGATGGGCACTGCACATTTGGACAACAATCACATTGAAAACTGAACATCTGACACCCTGAAGGGTCACGCCCTGTGTGGATCGTGACAAACTCTGGATAACATTGCAAAGAGGGGATACTCCAGAACATTCAGTTGTGCTCCTGAGGAATCTAGCCATAGACCAACAGGCCTAACAGAACAAGAGCACACTGAATGGTTTAAAATCAGGAAAGACGTGCATCAGGGTTGCATTCTTTCACCAGACTTAGTCAATCTGTCTGATGAGAAGATTAGCTGAGATGGTAGATTACATGAAACTTGATTATATAAAGACGAACGTGACATCAGAATTGAAGACTCATGAACAACCTAAGATATACGGGCTTGAAATACTGATGGAGATAAAAGATTACAGCCTTCAATATAGATTGCATCTCATTGTTTAGAACACAAAAATCCTTATTACTGGACCAATAAATGATGTCATGGTAAATGTAGACAAGATTGAAGTTGTCAGATTTCAATTTGCATGGATCTACAATCAGTGCTTATGGAAGCAGCAATCAAGAAATCAAATGGCGTATTATTACATTAAGCAAATCTGCTGCACAAAACTTCTTGGCCGAGTTCAAGAGCAAAAATGTTAGTCTGAGAACTCAGGTGAACCTAACACCAGCCATGGTATTGTCAATAGCCTCATATGCATGTGGAGGTTGGACATTGAGTAAGGACAACCCTAGAAGAATTTGTGCATTTGAATTATGCTGTTAGAGAACACTCTTGAACATAACATGGACCACCCAAAACCAAACATCTATTGTAGAGAAATAACAGCCAATGTGCTCCTTAGAAGCCAGGATGGAGAAACTTTGTCTCTCATTCTTTGAACATATCAGAAGAGACCAATCCCTAAAGAAGGACCTCATGCTTTGAAAAGTGGAGGGTCCATGAAGAAGAGGAAGACCCTCAAATAGATAGCGTGATAGAGTGGCAGCGTAACCACAATTGTGAGTGTTTTATTCTGTTGTTCAAAGGGTAGCGATGAGTCCTAACTGACTGAACTGCACCTAACAACCACAGTTCCAATTTTACTTAATAAAATGGTGTTGAATATCATTCACTTCTTAAGTAAATGTTGAAGATCTGTATATGGCTGTTTAATCAAAGGATATAGCATTTGGGGAATTCGTTGAAGTGGATTAATTTATCTTCTCACTTTTCAATTATCCATCATCCTCAACTATAACTTTTAATAAAAAAGATTTAAATGAGAAAAATGGTGTCATTTAAAAAAGGCTATAAAAGATTCTCTGAGGAGACCTATAGATACAGTGGATTAAGTGTTGGGCTGCTAACCAAGAAATTGAAGGTTCAAACCCACCAACTGCTTTTTGGGAGAAAGACACACAGTAGTCTGTGTGTGCTTTCCCTAGTTTGGCTCAAAGGTAAATGATTGCCAATTCTTTGTTGCATTGGGCGTGGGTGTTGGGCATGATGGCTTCTTCTAGAAAGCAGGGAGGAACCGTTGTGAAGTCTGAAAGTGCCTTTGGGCTGACAAGTGTTGCCCAAGGCTGAGCAGGAGTAAGGTGCAGTAGCAACCCCTAGACTGTGAGCTTGGTGACAGCA